TGTTTTTCTCGGTTTCGTAACCTGCTAAAGTGTCGTTTTGTAAGTTCCGTCATGGTCACCAACACCTATAAGACAACATTGCCATGCTGTAGCATATGACTCAGCCACGTCAAAAGAAAACTGGCTATTTCACTCTCTTCCCTGACTTATTCTTCGCAAAATTACGGAAAGTGACCTTTATATCATCACTTGTTAAACCCGAAACAGCCTATGGGAAAATGTCCACCGTGTGACCATGTGACCTATGCTGCTTTCACAACTGACGGTCTACTGGGGTTCCTTTTCGTTTTAGAACCTCGCGACCACTCGGGATCGAAAGAACATAAAAAACGCTTCCAGAAGCCCGTGCCCGCGGGACATTGGGCGTCAAACGACGCTTCCAGGCCGTCAGAATTGTTCAAAACGGTAAGGGTGTAAAAATAGATGTAAATTCCGTTTCGGGCCGTAGCTCCTCCACCTGAGGGAGAAAATTTCCACAACCTTCGCTGAAAAACGCTATTTTGGATGCTCAAAATGACACCGTCAACAGTTTTTACCTATCTCGTAACCCAGCGGGTCAGGAGACGAAACACTTCGCTTTGTAAATTCCGTAATCTGTAAATTCCGTCATTTTTTCTGTAAACTCCGCCGTATTTCATAAGGGGTGAAATTAAAAGTCAACTTGTAGCGCTGCCACGCTCAGAGGGGTACTGTGGGGTACTATGTATGCCATCTACACCAAATTTAGCCCCTAAAGTTGAACTTTGAAAAAGAACATTTGGTACATCCAACATGACCCTCTACGCACGGAATCACCCTGGGGCCTTGAAGCGTGACCCCTTTACGGTGTAACCACGTGGCATAAGTTGCCGTAACTTTGTCCAGTGATGGTTAGGGACGTACTTCTCGCGTAACAGGCATTTGGGGTGATTCGTAACAGACCCGTATATAAAACAAGAATTTAAGTAGTTCATGCAATTAAATGCTTGAATTATTTCGCGAATCATCTGCTGCCTTATTTCAATACATTTACACAGCACTAAATGCTTTTAAAAGCGAGTTATTCTAATCTATCCTTCGAAATTGAAAAAAGTGAGGTAGGGTTGACATAGCTGATCAGTTAATGCTGAGGCGGTCAACGGCAGATTCTAATGAAGATTTTAAGGTGTCTGCAAAACATTCGAACAAGAACTGCTGGAGGAGATAACATTCCCGACGATGTTTCATTTAATGTGTAGGATGCCATGAAAAGCCCCATGGCTGCTACAAATCACCCCATGCTGGGGCGATTCGTAACAGCATGCAAGGGTTGGGAAAGCGTACGCTTCAGACGTCTTACATTTCAGAGATTGGGGATTCCACATTGATCCAATGGAGATGTATAGTCTAGATGAAGGGCCAGACTGCTCACCTGGCACAAGTTTGACACCGACATGCGGAATATTCTGTATTTCTACAGAGAATTCCAAAATGTGTTACAAATCGCCCCACACTCTCTTATCTTAAAAAAGTCATCGTCATCAAAAGAGGTGGTAAAACCCCCCTAAAAAGTGTACAGGGGTGAGACTGCAACCTTAAATTTTTTGTTGGTCCATCGCAAACAGCTAAAACTAGTGATAACAACTCAACAAGTTCATCTACGAGGGGGGACCCACTGCCCCAAAAAGTGTACAACTGAGTGTAGAATGTGTAGAATGTGTTGAATGTGTGAGAATGTAAAGATTGTAATGGAATGTACTGATTGTAAAGATTGTCTAGAATGTGTGTGAATGTTACAGATTGTAGTGAGAATGTGACAGAATGTGTCAGGATTGTTAGAGATTGTATGAGAATGTGTGAGAATGTAAGAAAAAGTGCGAGAATGTGTGAGAATGTGTGAAGATTGTGTGCTGAATGGGCGTGCGGCCGACGTCTCTGCATAGCGCCGTGAAGGTAGGCAACCAATTTCACGCCTGAGGTAGTCAACCGTTCATCATAGTGGTGTTTCTTTGCTTCTATAAATCTTGCTTTGTCGCATGAGGTTGCCAGATTTTGGACGACTCCTTTCATTCCTTAGTCGTGCTCATCCAGGGTGGCTGGCCCCCCCTGAGAAGCTGCGGAGGACGGCCAGATTTAGTCACAAACACGCAGAGCGGCTAATGTTCAAGTGACGCACAGTTTAATAAGCATTATCTCAAACTGCCAGTTCCAAACGGTTTTTTTTTGGGGGGAGGTAGTTTTAAACGACTCTAGTCGTGCTCTGGCTTACGTTATGAAAGGATTCAAATTTGAATGAAAAGAAAACTGAACTTAAGCAAAGGGCAATGTAAATTAACACTTTCAAGTGACAAACCTTATATCTATAACCAGTAAACTATATCCTGTCCTCGACCCGGGGCTGGGGCTTGGCTGACTCGACTTCGACAGAGTTTCGCGCGCTTCCAGGGACGATCCCGACGCGAGCACGGGCCAGCGGCTCCGTTCGGATTCGGGACGGACACGAACTACCGCACTACCGCACTGGAGGGAGGGAAGTACTGCTAGAGCTGAAAGGAACGTAAACCTAAATCGAAGTTATTAGACTAAAATAAATATTTTTAGGGGACTGTCATTGAGAATGTGTAAGGAATGTGCAGAGAATGTGTTAAGAATGTGTCCAGAATGTGACTGAATGTATGAGAATGTCAGAGAATGTACAGCGATTGTGTGAGAATGTTAGGGAATGTTAGCGAATGTGTAAGAGTGTGGTGGATTGTGGCTGATTGTTTTGATTCTATGAGAATGTGTGGAATGTGTCTTGAATGTGAGTGAGTTTTTCGGGAGTTGGGTCTCAGGATGTACAACGAATGTGCCTAGTGGGTCCCCCCTCGTTCATCTACCTCCAAATTTGCGGAACGAATACGAGCTCCGGTCGCTGACTGCAAGCTAGGCAATTGATCCAGGAAGCGGAAGAAGGGGATAACTCAATTTTGGCCATTTTCAGGAGAAACAAAAAACTGTTAGCAGGGAAAACTAAAACAAAACAAATGAATGTTGCAGATGTTAATAATTTCAAAAAGCATTAGTAAAATTTTGGAAAAAAAAAATCAAAAGTGTAGGGTCACTCCGTAGAGGATTTCTGCGACTTATCACTTTCCGTTGAAATGGAAAACAGAGTCAGCTCACCTTATATTTCCTAAACAAAGAGGAATTTGGAGACAGGTCAAGTGGAACAATAGTCTGCATAAAGTGTATGTTACTCTGGTGTATTTTTTGGACTTAGCTCTTTTTCCAAATTGAAATTTAAAATTAAGGGGTGGTTAAGTTGAGTTGATTCTTTTTACACTGGATTAATAAAAACACAAGTTGAGTTATATCCTTTTGCCAATTTGTCAAACGGACTCATGTAGACTAAGGTTGAGTTATCTCCATTTTCCAATGAAATTTAGACTGTAAAAGGGGTTAAGTTGAGTTATACCCTTTTCCCATGTGGATTTTCTCCTAAACTGCTTGGAATTCAGTCAAATAATTTGGTGTAGTGATGTAAACCATTCTAAGGCACAGTAATAAAATAAAAACTCAATTTGGGGATAAGTCAAGTTATTCCCTTCTTCCGCTTCCTGGATCAATTGGAACGAAGTAAACATTATTTTTACGTAGCAGCAGCACCCTCAGCGGTCATGGCCTTCGAGTTTGGAGCGTAATTTCTTTGGATTTTGACTTCTCTTTGTCCACTTGTACAGTTTAATCTTTCTGCCCATCCAAGTGAAGCAACCAGTTCGCTGAACGTTCGTAGAATCGATTATCAGTGCATCAGCGTCACGCGGACTCACTTGGACCTGAACGGCAAAACTCGAACTCCGAGCCGCGGCCGCCGCGTCGGCATTGCAACTTCAACATTTCAAGAGGACTATGACTCACCGTTTAGTGGAAAATGACACCTCTCGAATGGATTGCACCACTGCAAATCGAAGTGCAGGGAAGTCCAACACCATTGGGCGCGAACCAAAATCTTTCACGCTTACAAGTGTGAACCTCCCATATTGGGCTGGAAGACCGGCGGAGGCGGCCAAAATTCTTGACGCGGTTTGATCTACAGATTCTCCAAGTGGGACTCGAACCGAACGTGTGACCCCATCATTGGATTGATCTCCAAACGACCGTTTGTTCTCGCACGCTTGCAAGTGTGGGGATCAGTTTGTCCCTCACTTGCAAGCTTGGGACCGACGGCACTGAACCACGGGAAACGCTTAGCAGCAAGTTTTGGACAGGGATGGTGTAGCATGGTCAGGACCTAACGAGCGAAATCCCATTGAAGAAGTATTCAATCCCATGTTTCGAAAAAAAAGGGACGCTGACACTGGTAGCCAACGAATGTGACGTCATATTCGTTCGAATGTGAATTTTGTCACGTTCGTTTGAATGTGATGTCACATTCGTTTGAATGTTGATCCACGTTCAAACGAATGTGACACCCTACTTAAACGGCCGAGTCACGTTCAAACAAATGTGACATCTTATTCGAACGAACGTGACAAAATTCACACTCCAACGAATATGACGTCACATTCGTTGACTACCAGTGGATGTAACAACAAAAATGTCGATTCGCCCTCCGTTTTACTCAAGTGCAACGGACGCTTTCCACCTCTTTTTCTTTTTTTTTCTCTGACATAGAAATGCGGTTTTTAGTATACGACGCAAGAATTTTCGATCTAAATTGTAAACAAACAAACAGAGTCATTCGGTTTCATATTGTTCATCAGTTTTGAGTATGCTCCCTCCGAAGTACTCTTGGCCTGGGACTGGGACTGCGCCCGTATTGGCGCACAAGCACTGTTGATGGTTTGACCAAAGACTGTAAACATCTTTAAATTGAAATTCTCAGGTATTTTCTTATAGATTTGGTTCGGTTTAAGTGTTAAACGTGTGGCTAGTCAACGCCCTTTGGATAAACAAAACCAGGTACCAATCATAGGTGTGCAGATTTTCAGGTCGGTAAAGAGACAGAACCCCGACGAAACTGTGTGCAGGATCAACTCCAAGTGATACAGGATCACACATTCTTTGCGGTTGAGCATATCTTTTATTGAAAGTGCAAGGCATGTGCATATGAGTGCATGAACCATTTCTTCAATTCACGGAGATTACTTTGGGCTGATTATTCCTCAACCTCAGATTATTGGTTGTGCTTGGTTTTGTGTGCCTTCTTCGGTTTCTTCCTCTTGTGAGACGGGCGTTTAGTTTTCGGTGCCTTCTTCGGTGGCGTCTTTTTGTGAGATGTGGCTGCGGTTTTGGGTGAGTTCTTAGGCTTCTGACTGTCGCGCGCTGTGCGAACAGATGCTTGAGCCTGAATCGATTTCGAAGCAGTTTGCGAGGTGCTGGCACACAGGCCCTTGTACGTCGAGTCCTTCTTGGTGCCGGCTGGGCACTTGGAGGCGGGCTGGCCGCCTTGGTACATGACCTCTCCCAGGAAGTTGCCGCTCGGCTTGTAGTCGCAGACGACGAGCTGCGTGTCTGGAGCCTTGCCGGAGCCCGCGGTGTAGGTCGAGTAGGCGCAGCCCACGGCGTAGGTCTGCGCCCACCCCAGCTGCGTGTAGTGCCCTACGTCCATGAAGGTCCCGTCGACCCTGCAACACGATAACAGGGTACATTAGTCCACTAGTAATGTACTTTCAGTGATCGGACATATCTCGGCGGCACGCAGGGATCCTTAACTTACCTCATAAGGGCATCATAACGTTATGATAAGAGTTAAAGTTATTACCCTTAACTTCTAACATCTGTTCAAAAGGGTAAGTTATTTTTTTATGTCTCGAATTTGTGTGGACATACTTTTGCAAGTACTTTCTCAAGTCCGTACCCTTAACCTTTAGCGAACATTGTCTTATGTTACGTTATGACAGCAGTGTTAGTTAAATGTTAAGTTAAGTTAAGGATCCCTGGCGGCACGTGGGCCTCGGAACTTGCCCGGAACAGGCCGGAAGGTAGGGCATTGTTCGGCATTGTTGCAGGTGTACCCTGCTGGGGTGCGAACTTTGGGTGGGATAATTCCGTATTGAATTCAACTAAAAAATCGAAAAAAAAAAATTCCAGCACATTCCTAGACCCGGAGGAAGTTCCACGTTCCGGACCCCCCGGGAGGACAAGATCTTAAATGTTATCTGTCCGTCTCAACATTGCACATGTGCCATTGGAGCAGACAGAGATGACCACGGAATAAGGTCAAGTCTGTCAAACGACTAGTTAGGGAAATGTTAACTCGGACCCTGCATATTATAGGATACAGGCGTATCAACTTCAAAATTTACACACACTCGCACTCTTATTGCAGGAACGTGACATCACATTGAAGCAAATGTGACTCTGCTCGAAGGAACGTGACATTTTGTCACATTCTGTGACAACGTGGTGTCACGTTCCTGGAATGAGAATGACTTCAGTTCCAGAGGCAGGTGTCCGTCCGAAAATTGTGACCACATACAGAAATTTCTAGCGTTTTTTCTCAGCTCCGCGCTCCAAAATCCTTGCGGTGGATTTCGCTGCAATTTGCGAAGAAATTTGCGCGACCATAGCACGAACTCAATTGTTTTACATTACGAATCTATTTTGGCTGTTCTTCGTAAGGTGCAGAGTTTGTAAACTTCACACGACGAGGAAAATATGGCTCCATAATATTTTGGCGCAAAATTCTAGTCATTATGAAGAAATGCAGTTAGTTCTCTTCGCAGGACTTTAAGAGCGCACTCCAAAGGTTCAGTGGAGTACAGGGAGTCAAACTATTGTGGTGCATGCGCACTTCCTGGAGACTGATCATCAGCAAGAAAAATTACGAAGTCAGAAGGAACACTTACTTGAATGGCTTGGTGTTGAGTGACCCATCACGATCTTTTACTTCCTCGTACCATATCTTCACAGCTGCTGTCCAATCGGGTTTGGTCTGGTTGGGGGCAAGACCACCGAGGAGCAGGTTTTGTCCAGACACGGTTCCGTCCTCTGTTGAATTCAAAAAAGGATAGTCATAGTTAGTAATGTGCCAGTATTTCGAAATCAATTAGCAAATTTCCGAATCGAATTACTTCAGACAACAACAGCAGAAAAGTGCTAATTTAAACCTTTTATTATTACGCCCCAAATATTGCAAGCAGCCGATTGCGTATTGCTGAGGTTCATTCCTAATTATTTTGAAAATCCCCACCTCCCCTTAAAACCTGAGAAAAACAAACTTGACAGAAAATAACAACTTTTACTTACTGGTCGTGTGGCACGTGTCATGTTCGAAGGTGCACTGATCCGCCCAGCGCTGAGCATAGGTAGCGATCTCGTCGTCCCATGACTGCAAGAATAAGACAACACGGAACGAATAACACTCAGTCCCCGTTCTCGTTAACTAATGCTCGCCGTCAACACGGATGTAAACTTCCGACACCTGGGCCAATTGATCCAGGAAGCGGAAGAGGGGAATAACTTGACTTATCCCCAAATTGACTTTTTTTATGTATTATTGTGCCTCAGAACGGTTAACATCACTTCACCAAATTATTTGACTCAATTCCTAGCAGTTTAGGAGAAAATCAACATGGAAAAAGGGAACAACTCAACTTAACCCCAGTTACGGTCCAAATTTCATTGGAAAATGGAGATAACTCTGCCAAAGTCCACATGGCTCTATTAAAAAAATTGGCAAAAGGAGATAACTCAACTTGTATTTTTATGACTATAATGAAAAAAGAGTCAAGTAGACTTAACTCCCCCTTTTTTTTAAGAACACTAGTTGGAAAAAAGAGCCAACTCCAAAAATGAACCAGAGCAAAGTAGACTCTACGCAGACCTCAGCTCCACTTGAACTGTCTCTAAATTCCTCCTCGTTTGGGAGAACTAAGTGAACATGGTTCCGTAGTCTATTCTAACGTAAAGATTTAAATCACAGAAACCCTCTACGGAGTGATCAGACACTTCTAAAAATTTTCATAATTATTACTGATGCTTTTTTGACTAACTTCTAATTGCATATTTCATTTGTTTAGTTTTAGTTTTCCCTGCAAAAAGTTTTTTGTTTCTCCTGAAAAATGATGAAAATTGAGTTATCCCCTTCTTCCGCTTCATGGATCAATTACACTCTCATTCCAGGAACGTGACATCACGTTGAAACGAACGTGACAAAATGTCACGTTCGTTTGAGCATTGTGTCACATTCGTTTGGTTGTGAATTGGCCAAAAATCAGCTGTTGAAACGAACGTGATACAATGCTCAAACGAACGTTACATTTTATCACGTTCGTATCAACGTGATGTCACTTTCCTGGAATGAGAGTGTAAGGGCAAGCTGCCTCATCGGCTTGAAAGGGAAAATCTAAGTCGATGTAAGTACGCAACATCGGGGCCTGAGTAGCCTCGTGGTCCGGTTAGGTACGCATTTTTGTAAGCACAAGCACATGGAAACTTTGCATTAGGTTAAGGTGAGGTGTGGGCGAAAATTTGTACCAAAATTGATTAAAATGATGACAGAGAGATTTTTCAAATAGCTGGCTTTTGTCTCAAATCGTTTAACTGGAGAAAAAGACTAATTTTATTATATGAAAAAAATGGTTAAGTTGGCTCTGTCAAAACGAAAAATAAAGGTCAAATATCACTCTGTTACAGTAAAGTATATGGGTCTAGGCAAATTTCACATCATTCAGTCAAAAAACTTTGCGTGGCTGACCTTTCTACTAAACGCTTAATTTCAATGAAAACAGACTACTGTGGCTAAATGGGTGGGTAGATTTGCATGAAATTTGGTGTGGTTCCTACCTAGGTCTAAAACGCTTTAAGGTCTCAACCACCTCAGACCATTGGTATATCAGTTTCCATTCACACATCACTTTAAGGCGTGATGTCAAGTCCTGAGACCCATTCCATGATTAGCACAAATCCTACGCAGTTTCCTCGATGGCAACAATCCGAGGGGGTAAACACTTCAAGAAATCGTGTACAGACTACTCGGTATTACGCTGTATTACGGGTGTATTACACGTGTATTACGGCCCTAAAATGCCCAAATTTGGGACATTTGACCCAAAAATGGTATTACGATCACGTGTATTACGCGTAATACACGTTTTTTGTGTACAGGGTATTACGCGAGTGGTTACCCCCTCGCAACAATCGCACTTACTATTTTCCTCATATTCGAAGCAGACGGCTGCGGGTTGTTCTTGCCGCGCTTCTCCTGCCCCAACGCCACCTTGTTACGGTACTCGTTGTGCAGCCGCACGATGAGTTCTTTGTCGCTGGCCGAGATGGTTGGCTTCTGTATGGTTCACCAAAAAAATGTATTTTAGTATTCGCGTCCACGCGAGAAGATTTGATTCGTTGCATCTCGTTCCCTGGCCGGCCATCAAACCGCGGTATACCTTGTAGTTTTTGCACGCCTTCCCCGGTGTGGCGCTGGGGTATTTGCACATGACGTGGTCAGGGCACAGCTTGCAGTAGTCGGTGGCGGCAGCGGCCACGCCTAGCACGGCCACCAGAACGAAGAGGCGAAGCAGGGCCCGGGTGAGTTGAGACGGCCAGGGACACGCAAGCTGCTGTTCAAGAAGTTGCAAACCGTGAAGATTTTCCCAAATCTTTTCCTACTGAACGAACGGGGGGAGAGGAGTTGCCCTGCCTGTTAGGCGAAGCCGCCTGAAAGGTAGGCAAAAAGTCGCACACTGCGCCTCTAGGTAGGCAACTTTTGTAACATTGCTCCCCCCTCAACCCATTCCTGGACCCGCGCTCAACCCTCTCGGGTTGTCTAGGAGCATTTCAATTCACTGGTGACACTTTGCTCTTTCCGGGCGTAAACGATTTACGCCACTGGAACGACCTGAAACGTCTTGAATATGCCCTTGTGGAGAGAGTAAATAGGTAAAGGACTTCAGGCATAATTTTAATGCTCTTCACTGGTAAAATTAAAGCGTAACTTCATGCTTGAGTCAAGCATGAAGTTGCTCTTGAAATGAAGCATTCTCTTGAAATTCCCCCCATGCATTTAGGTAGGGGTAATCTTGGCGGAAGAGCTTGTTACGCTTGATTACAAACACAAACTGTTAACGCTACGCTTTATAACAGAGGGTGATACTACGCTTACGTTTTACCAGTGTTTCCCGAAAGCCCTAGGCCGTAGTTTTTGTACCCTTGTTAGCTTAATCTGATACAAATTTTCTCGGATTCGAAACTTATTTTTTTTTTAGTGCACTCTCCGACACTCCACGGACATTTTTTTTAGTAAACCCACAGTTTTAAATTTTTTTTTTCTGCAATTGTAGTCCTTTTTATTGTAAGTACAGAAAAAAAAATCAGCAACCTTACAGAAAAGTGGTCTGTTGATAAATTTTCTGCAACTACAGTTATGATCAAGCAGAAAAAAATTACTGTTCCATTTTAGTAAAAATGATCTATAAATGTAGGCAAAAGTTTCTACATACAGATAATATATACAAGAATTAACAGAAAAGATTTTAAAGAGTCAGAATAACTTTTTTGGGTGTTCCGCTAAAAGTCACAATTCACCCATCTCTTAAAAGCCGCTTACATTGAGTCCTTTCTTGACTTGTCGAAGCTAAGAATGTTTTGTAGGATCATTTTGACTAAAACGCATTACCTTTCCCAAACACTTTGTTTGAACGGAGAAAAATTTTTACTGAAACTATTTACTGAAGATCACAAAGTAGTCATCGACAAATTGTTTATGAGCAAAACTTTATTTCTACATTTGCAGAAAATAAATTCTTTGATTATAAACAAATTTTTCATCATATTTCTACTGACATTGTAAATTTTTTGTAAATAAGTAAAAAAATTGTCTATAATTTCCAAATTTTTTACCGCTAATTTATCTGTATCTCATGTAAAATTTATTCGATATGTTATTGAAAATATTTACTATATCATAGTAACGCTCTAAAATCAGTAAGCCGTAGAGTAAATTTTCTACAATATAGAAAAAATAATCAGTGAAGGGCTGAGAGTGTGTGCACGACGCACTCTTAAACCCACAAAGCATTTGCTTCGTAGCTACGAAGAAAATGATGGCATGAGAGAGTTGGGGTTTGTATTACGAAGCATTTTGCGTGATAAATTTGAAGCATTTCTTCGCGGATTTTGCAATGCCTTGCATTTCCTTTGTATCATGAAGCGATTCTTCGCAGATTTTTTAGTGTGCGCTTACCTTGCAGGTTGCAGAACCCACCAGGGACCCTCGCTCGTCAGCAAGAGCTGAGAGCTAACGAGCAGGGCGCTTTATATTGTCGATGAAACTGTTCGCCGTGAAGGAAAGACGAGAAAGTCGTGCACAGAGTACGTATCGTCTGCGCGGTACGCACGACTTCTTGTGACGGAAAGACAGGTGCGTCATGGTTAACGACCGTGCGTCGTCAGCACTATTAGGAAATTTTGAATGTTGAAATTTTATAGCGGGTAGCAACACCTGGGCAAGGATCGGGCCACGAATAGGGTGAACTGGCATGAGAAACGTTCACACCGGGGTTTGCCACGAATAGGGTGAACTGGCATGAGGAACGTTCATACCACGGTTTGGCACGAATAGGGTGAACTGGCATGAGAAACGTTCATACCACGGTTTGGCCGAATTTGCTCTTGTTCGGAATTGATCCACTTACTGCAATTGCCGTTATGCATTTACCTTAGCACGCTATAAAATTCTTAAGTTTCGTGAAAATAGGTGATGGAACTGAGAATGTTGAAGGAGTAGTGCTGACAGACAGACCGACAAAACTTTTCAACCCCACCCGAAACAGGCTTCGCGATCACTCAGCCAATAAGAAGGTTTTCACTTCACGACAAAATTGTGGCTGACATTTTCGTCATAGGTTTTTTACTAATTGCAAGGACGTGACAGCAAAATCGTCACCTCGATTGGTGATGTTGTGCACTGAGAATGGAAGAATCTAGATCGGTGCCACATAATTGGCCTAGGTAGCACCCCAATTAGGGTGATAAAGTTTACATCACCGAACCTAAAAACCTACGTTCGTATTTAGCTTCTGCTTTTTCCTTCGTGTAAGGGTGATTCCGTGCATAGGGGGTCATTTCAGGTCACCGGGGCCTTGCGCCTGAACTGAGGTTGATTTGGTAGCTCTGGCAATTCAAATTTGTTTTACTAAACGAAGACCATGTCCTCATGTGGATAAGTGAATCTAACTTTTGTTTTTCTAGGTTTCGTAAGCTGCTAAAGTGTCGTTTTGTAAGTTCCGTCATGGTCACCAACACCTATAAGACAACATTGCCATGCTGTAGCATATGACTCAGCCACATCAAAAGAAAACTGGCTATTTCACTCTCTCCCTGACTTATTCTTCGCAAAATTACGGAAGGTGACCTTTGTATCATCACTTGTTAAACCCGAAACAGCCTATGGGAAAATGTCCACCGGTACCATGTGACCTATGCTGCTTTCACAACTGACGGTCTACTGGGTTCCTTTTCGTTTTAGAACCTCGCGCCCACTTGGGATCGAAAGAACATAAAAAACGCTTCCAGAAGCCCGTGCCCGCGGGACATTGGGCGGTCAAACGACGCTTCCAGGCCGTCAGAATGTTTCAAACGGTAAGGGTGTAAAAATAGATGTAAATTCCGTTTCGGGCCGTAGCTCCTATATCTGAGGGAGAAAATTTCCACAACCTTCGCTGAAAAACGCTATTTTGGATGCTAAAAATGACACCGTCACAGTTTTTACCTATCTTGTAACCCAGCGGGTCAGGAGACGAACACTTCGCTTTGAAAATTCCGTAATCTGTAAATTCCGTCATTATTTCTGTAATTTCCGCCGTATTTCTTAAGGGGAGGTTCTACTAAAAAAATAGCACTTTTCAAATTGAGCCCCAGTGTTAACATTTGTTGCATATTGTAGTATTACATTGTTTTAAGTCAAACATGAAATTTTAAGCCCAACCTTCCTCCAAATCCAGTCGAAGGGGTTTTTTTTCAGCCTTTTTTAGCAATGTCTTAAAAAGTTCTCCTACGCAAAGTATTTCAACGTAAACTGATGTTCTGGACATTTTTTTACTTCTTTGGCACATATGCAATAAAGCGTGGCATCACCAAGACATGGGACCCAACAAATTCATTATGGCATTGTTTATCAGAAAAAAAGACACTAAAATATCAGGATTTTGACCATTTTCTTGAAATTCCAGTGACATGCTGTGTTAAAACACAGCTTCTGATTTTTCAATGGTCCCGTATCTTACTAATGCCACGGTTTATCAATTATGAACCAAAAAAATGAAAAATGCCCAGAACATCAGTTTACGTTGAAAAACTTTGCGTAGGAGAATTTTTTAAGATACGACTGGAAATAGCAGAAAATTCCTCTTCGACTGGTTTTTGGGGGTTGGTATTCCTCTGCAAACTTCAAATTTTTCTATTTACTATAAAATACTTTAAATTTTCAATGAACGTAAATAGTGGGACTCAATTTGAAGAAAGTAAGATTTTCAGTAGAACCTCCCCTTAAGGGGTGAAATTAAAAGTCAACTTGTAGCGCTGCCACGCTCAGAGGGGTACTGTGGGGTACTATGTATGCCATCTACACCAAATTTAGCCCCTAAAGTTGAACTTTAAAAATGAACATTTGGTACATCCAAAATGACCCTCTACGCACGGAATCACCCGTAAATTGACGGGCCCTATTCAAAAGATCTTATCTGGGCGCTCCTATTCAAAGAGTTTTATCTGCAACGCACGCGAATTTCACTAAGTTTGACCATTTGGGACGGAGAAGAGGGTAAACGGAACATAATTCTACACACACTGTTAATTTCTTCGATCTTTCATCTTCAAGTTTGTGTAACTACAATCCCAAATTATTTTGATTTGTAGCTGCCTCAAATGAACAAACTTGGTGAAATTCGCTTGCTTTGCTGATAAGATTCTTTGAATGGGAGCGCCCAGATAAGTTCTTTTGAATAGGACCCCTGTGGTAAATTTCTCCTCAAAGACATTTAGAGTGACGCGGCAACCGACATTTCGGCAGTGCGATGGACACCCTTCCGGACGAGCTGCTCCTCCACGTGCTGTCCCTGGTGGGGGACGGCGCCTCCCTCCTGGACGCGGTGCCGCTGGTGTGCAAGAAGTGGCTGTCGCTGTCGCGCGACCCTCGGACCTGGAGCGGCGTGGACGTGCACTGGGAGCCGCGGCACGCGCAGTCTGCAGCGGCCCCGCTGGAGGTAGGTGGGGACGGGGGCATTATATCACTGAGGGAGGATGTGACTTTGTTTCCTCATTTTGGGTGACGAAAAAGTCACCCGATATTTGATCCATGAAGCGGAAGAAGGGAATAACTCAATTTTCATCGTTTTTCAGGAGACACTAAAAACTGTTTGCAGGGTAAACTTAATCCAATCAGGATGCAATTGCATTTTTGTCAAGGAAGCCTAGGAAAAAGCTGTGAAAATTTTCAAAAGTGTAGCATCACTCCGTAGACGATTTCCGTGGTTTTAATCTTTACGTTGGAATGAACTATTGAACCATGTTTACTTCTCCCCTAACTTGAATTGTCTCCAAATTCCCCCTTGAATTTGGAGACAATTCAAGTGGAGCTGAGGTCTTCGTAGAGTCTGTATTTCTGTGATACATTTTTTGGGGTCACCT